CCTCCTCCTCCGCGGCGCGGCCGATCCCGCGGCGCAGCAGCGCCCCCCTCAGGCCGTGGCGGGCGGCGGCGCGCAGCAGCGCCGCGTCGTGGGCGCCGCGCCGCCACCAGGGCGGCAGCAGCGAGCCGGGCGGCGGCAGCCGCGCCAGCAGCGCCGGCAGCGCCGGCAGCCGCAGCACGCGCTCCCGCAGGCAGCGCAGCAGCGCCAGGCGCCGCAGGCAGCGCAGCGCCAGCGGGGCCGGGACCGGGCACAGAGCAGGGCAAGGAGCCAGAGCAGCTGGGGAGAGAGAAAACGGGGTGAAAAACGGCAAAAACGGGAAAAAACGGGGTAAAAATGGGGCAGCCGCAGCACGCGCTCCCGCAGGCAGCGCAGCAGCGCCAGGCGCCGCAGGCAGCGCAGCGCCAGCGGGGCTGGAACCGGGCATGGAGACAGGGAACACGGAACTGTGAGACAGAGAGAGAAAACGGGGTGAAAAACGGCAAAAACGGGAAAAAACGGGGGGAAAATGGGGAAAAAATGGGGGGAAAATGGGGGGAAAATGGAGGAAATATGGGGTAAAAAATGGGGTAAAAATAAGAGAAAAAATGGGGTAAAAATGGGGTAAAAATGGGGAAAAATGGGGAAAATATGGGGGAAAATGGGGAAAAAATAAGGGTAAAAATGGAGGGAAAATGGGGGAAAAATGGAGAAAATATGGGGTAAAAAATGGGGTAAAAAGAAGAGAAAAAATGGGGTAAAAATGGGGTAAAAATGGGGAAAAATGCGGAAAATTGGGTAAAAATGGGGTAAAAATGGGGTGAAAATGGGGGAAAATATGGGGTAAAAATGGGGGGAAAATGGGGAAAATATGGGGTAAAAAATGGGGTAAAAGTAAGAAAAAATGGGGTAAAAACTGGAAAAATGGGGGAAAATGGGGAAAAATGGGGGGAAATGGGGGAAAAATGGGGGGAAAATGGGGGAAAAATAAAGGAAAAAATGGAAAAAAATGGGGTAAAAATAAGGGAAAAAATGGGGTAAAAATAAGGGAAAAAATGGGGGAAAAATGGGGCAAAAAGGGGAGAGAAATGGGAGAAAAAATGGGGAAAAATGGGGTAAAAATGGGGTAAAAATGGGGGAAACGGGTCAGAAATGGTTAAAGGGTGGAAGGGGGATGGGGGCATTGGAGGGGAGGCCGGAACCCCGAGAAATTGGGGTAAAATCTGCCTGAAATGGGAAAATTGCCCCAGAACTCCCCGAATTTTCCCAAAATCTCGTGGTTTTGCCCCATTACCGTCGCCGGGCGCGGGCGGCAGCCGGCAGGGACCTCCTGAACCCCCTGAAACCTCCTGATTTTGGGTTCAAACCCCTCGATTTGGGCTCAAACATGCGGATTTTGGGTCAAAACGCCCCGAATCGCCCGATTTTGCCCGAATTTTCCCGAATTTTCCCAAAATCTCAGGAATTTGCCCCATTACCGTCGCCGGGCGCGGGCGGCAGCTGGCAGAGAGACCCTGAACCCCCTGAAACCTCCTGATTTTGGGTTAAAACCCTTTGATTTGGGTTCCAACCCCTCACTTTGGGGTCAAACATGCGGATTTTGGGTCAAAACGCCCCAAATCGCCCGATTTTTCCCGAATTTTCCCAAAATCTGGTGGTTTTGCCCCATTACCGTCACCGGGTGCGGGTGGCAGCCAGCAGAGAGACCCTGAACCCCCTGAAACTTCCTGATTTTGGGTTCCAACCCCTCAATTTGGGCTCAAATCCCTCAATTTTGGGTCAAAATGCCCCGAATCGCCCGATTTTGCCCGAATTTTCCCGAATTTTCCCAAAATCTCAGGAATTTGCCCCATTACCGTCGCCGGGCACGGGCGGCAGCCGGCAGGGACCTCCTGAACCCCCTGATTTTGGGTTAAAACCCCTCAATTTGGGTTCAAACCCCTCGATTTTGGTCAAAACGCCCCAAATCGCCCGATTTTGCCCGATTTTTCCCAATTTTTCCCAAAATCTGGTGGTTTTGCCCCATTACCGTCGCCGGGCGCGGGCGGCAGCCGGCAGAGACCTCCTGAACCCCCTGAAACCTCCTGATTTTGGGTTCCAACCCCTCGATTTGGGTTCAAACCCCTCGATTTTGGGTCAAAACGCCCCGAATCGCCCGATTTTGCCTGAATTTTCCCGAATTTTCCCAAAATCTCAGGAATTTGCCCCACTACCGTCGCCGGGCGCGGGCGGCAGCCGGCAGAGACCTCCTGAACATTCTGATTTTGGGTTCCAACCCCTCGATTTGGGTTCAAACCCCTCAATTTTGGGTCAAAACACCCCGAATCGCCCGATTTTGCCCGAATTTTCCCGAATTTTCCCAAAATCTCAGGAATTTGCCCCATTACCGTCGCCGGGCGCGGGCGGCAGCCAGCAGAAAGACCCTGAACCCCCTGAAACCTCCTGATTTTGGGTTCAAACCCCTCGATTTGGGGTCAAACATGCGGATTTTGGGTCAAAACGCCCCAAATCGCCCGATTTTGCCCGATTTTGCCCGAATTTTCCCAAAATCTCAGGAATTTGCCCCATTACCGTCGCCGGGCGCGGGCGGCAGCCGGCACACCTGCCGGCACATGGCCACGAAGCCGTGGTAGAAGCGGGTCAGCTCCTCGTCCGAGCGCCGCTCCAGCCGGGCCAGGGCGCGGAAGCGGCGCCAGCGGAAGCGCCCCGAGCCCGGCTCCAGCTCCACGCCGAAGGTGGAGGCCACGCGCAGGAAATCGGCCTGCTCCCGCCGCGTCCAGCTGCGGAACGGGGAGAAAAAGGGGGAAAACGGTGAAAAACGGCGAAAAAATGGGGAAAAACGGTGAAAAAATGGTGAAAATACGACGAGAAATGGTGAAAATACGAAGAAAATACATAAATAGGCCCAAATGTGAGGAAAGAAGGAAATCGGCCTGCTCCCGCCGCGTCCAGATGTGAAACGGGGAGAAAAAGGGGGAAAACAGTGAAAAACGGCGAAAAAATGGGGAAAAACGGTGAAAAAACGGCGAAAATACGACCAAAAATGGCGAAAATACGGAGAAAATACATAAATAGGCCCAAATGTGAGGAAAGAAGGAAATCGGCCTGCTCCCGCCGCGTCCAGATGTGAAACGGGGAGAAAAAGGGGGAAAACGGTGAAAAACGGCGAAAAAATGGGGAAAAACGGTGAAAAAACGGCGAAAATACGACCAAAAATGGTGAAAATACGGAGAAAAAACGCCCAAAAATGCCCAAAATCGGCCCAAATGTGAGGAAAGAAGGAAGTTGGACTGCTCCCGCCGCGTCCAGCTGCAGAATGGGGAGAAAAAGGGGGAAAACGGTGAAAAACGGTGAAAAAATGGGGAGAAACGGTGAAAAAATGGTGAAAATACGACCAGAAATGGCGAAAATATGGAGAAAATACATAAATAGGCCCAAATGTGAGGAAAGAAGGAAATTGGTCTGCTCCCGCCGCGTCCAGATGTGAAACGGGGAGAAAAAGGGGGAAAACGGTGAAAAACGGTGAAAAAATGGGGAAAAACGGTGAAAAAATGGTGAAAATACGACCAAAAATGGCGAAAATACGGAGAAAATACATAAATAGGCCCAAATGTGAGGAAGGACAAAGGAAATTGGACTGATCCAGCTGCAGAAAAAGGGGGAAAAAGGGGGAAAACGGTGAAAAAATGGGGAAAAATAGTGAAAAAATCGGAAAAAACGGTGAAAAAATGGCAAAAATACGACGAAAAATGGTGAAAATATGGAGAAAATACGCTCAAAAATGCCCAAAATCGGCCCAAATATGAGACAAGATGGAGGAAGTCGGAGTGTTCCCACGGTGTCTGGTGGGGAAATGGGGAGAAAAATGGGGAAAATGGGGAAAATGGGGAAAAATGGGAAAAACGGTGAAAAAATGGCAAAAAACGCGAGAAAATGGTGAAAAACCCGAATTTCATCCAAAAAAAACCCAATTTTGTCCAAACCCCACCCAAAACCCCCAAATTTCACTCCAAAAACCCAAATTCCGCCCCAATTTCTCTCAGAAAATCCCAAATTTCACCCCAAATCCCACCCCAAAAACCCCAAATCCCCCAAATTCCGCCCCAATTTCCCTCAGAAAATTCCGAATTTCCACCCCAAACCCACCCAAAAACCCCAAAACCCCAAAAACCCCAAATTCCACCCCAATTTCCCTCCAAAACCCCCAACTTTTGCCCAAAATCCCACCCAAAACCACCAAAAACCCCAAATTTCTCCCCAAACCCACCCAAAAACCCCAAAAATTCCCAAATTCCGACCCAATTTCCCTCCAAAAATCCCAAATTTTGCCCCAAACCCTCCCAAAATCCCCAAAAATCTCCAAAAATCCCCAAAAACCCCCAAATTCCACCCAAAAAATCCCAAAATCCCACAAAACACCCAAATCCCACCCCAATTTCCCTCCAAAAATCCCAAATTTCCCCTCAAAACCACACCCAAAACCCCCAAAATCCCACCCAAAACCACCCAAAAACCCCAAATTTCTCCCCAAACCTTACCCCAAAAAACCCAAAATTTTCCCCAAAAACCCCCAAATTTCCCCCCAAAATCCCACCCAAAACCCCCAAATTTTTCCCAAACCACCCAAAATTTCACCCAAAATCCCGAATTTCGCCCCGAAACCCCAAAAATCCCCAAAATCCCCCAAATTCCGGCCGCTGACCGCTGCTGCTTGTCGCGCCGCTCGTGGCTGCGCCGCGGCCGCCGCGGCCGCTCGCCGTGGCCGGAGTGGCCGGAGTGACCATCGGAGTGACCAGAGTGACCAGTGGAGTGACCAGAGTGACCATCGTGGTGACCACCAGGCTGACCATCACTGAAGTGACCACTGAGCTGACCACCGGAGTGACCACTGAAGTGACCACCAAGGTGACCATCAGAGTGACCACTGAAGTGACCACCAGGCTGACCATCAGAGTGACCATCAAAGTGACCACCAGAGTGACCACCAAGGTGACCATCAAAGTGACCACTGAAGTGACCACCAAGGTGACCGCCAGGCTGACCACCGTGATGACCACTGGGCTGACCATCAGAGTGACCACTGAAGTGACCACTGGAGTGACCACTGAAGTGACCACCGTGATGACCATCAGAGTGACCGCCGGGTTGACCACCGTGATGACCATCAGAGTGACCATCAGAGTGACCACTGAAGTGACCACCGGGCTGACCACCGTGATGACCACCAGAGTGACCATCAGAGTGACCGCCGGGCTCACCATCGGAGTGCCTATCGTGCTGACCACTGAAGTGACCACCCGAGTGACCACTGCCCGAGTGACCACCAGAATGACCACCAGAGTGACCACCCGAGTGACCACTGCCCGAGTGACCACCCGAGTGACCACTGCCCGAGTGACCGCCGGGCCGGCCCGGCGCCGTCTCGGTGGCCGGGGGGTCGCGCCGGTGGCCGGAGTCCGGCCGGGGGCAGGCGGCCAGCAGGCGCCGCAGCCGAGCGGTCAGCGCCGCCGCCGCCGGCCACGCGCCCACGCCGCGGCCGGAGGTCAGCGCGGGGTCAGAGGTCAGCGCGGGGTCGGAGGTCACCGCGGGGTCGGAGGTCATCCCGAGGCCGGAGGTGACCGTGGAGCTGGACATCGGCGTGGGGTCAGAGGTCACCACGGGGCCGGACATTGGCGTGGGGCCGGAGGTGACCACGGGGTCAGAGGTCACCACGGGGTCAGAGGTCACCACGGGGTCAGAGGTCACCACGGGGCCGGACATTGCGACCATGGGGCCGGACATCAGCGTGGGGTCAGAGGTCACCATGGGGTCAGAGGTCACCATGGAGCTGGACATCGGCGTGGGGTCAGAGGTCACCACGGGGTCAGAGGTCACCACGGGGCCGGACATCGGGCAGGCTGAAAAGGGGGACAGGGGTCAGTGAGGGGATTTTGGGGAGATTTTGGGGGATTTTGGGACAATTTGGGGTCAGTTTGGGGGATTTGGGGAGATTTTGGGGGATTTGAGAAGATTTGAGGAGATTTGGGGGGATTTTGGGTCAGTTTGGGGGGATTTGGGGGATTTTGAGGGGATTTGGGGAGATTTTGGGGGATTTGAGAAGATTTGAGGAGATTTGGGGGGATTTTGGGTCAGTTTGGGGGGATTTGGGGGATTTTGAGGAGATTTGGGGAGATTTGAGGAGATTTGGGGGGATTTTGGGTCAGTTTCGGGGGATTTGGGGAGATTTTGGGGGGATTTTTGGGAGGGTTTTTGGGGGAATTTTTGGGAAAATTGGGGGGGATTTTAGGGGGATTTGGGTCAGTTTGGGGGAATTTTGGGGGATTTTGAGGAGATTTGAGGAGATTTTGAGAAGATTTGGGGGGATTTTGGGTCAGTTTCGGGGGATTTGGGGAGATTTTGGGGGGATTTTTGGGAGGGTTTTTGGGGCAATTTTTGGGAAAATTGGGGGGGATTTGGGGGGGGTTTTGGGGGATTTGGGGCAATTTTGGGGAGATTTGGGTCAGTTTGGGGGAATTTTGGGGTCGGGGGTTGGTTTGGGGGGATTTGGGGGGATTTGGGTCAGTTTGGGGAGATTTTGAGGAATTTTGGGGAGATTTGGGTCAATTTGCGGGGATTTGGGTCAGTTTTGGGGGATTTTGGGTCAGTTTGGGAAGATTTGGGGGGATTTTGGGTCAGCGCCGGGAGATTTGGAAAATTCTGGGGGATTTTGGGGAGATTCGAGGCGATTTTGGAGGGAATTTGGGGCAACTTTGGGGGATTTTGGGGCTTTCGGGGATTTTTGGGACTCCGGGGGAATTTTGGGGGGATTTTGGGGGATTTTGGGGGATTTTGGGACCCCCTTACCCTCGTCCCCGTCCACCACTGAGATCTCCTCGTCCAGCCCGGCCAGGGGGTCGCTCTGGGGGGGTCACGGGGTCACCGCCGCCGTTTTGGGGAGAAAAACCCCGATTTTGGGGCTCCCGGCCATTTTGGGGCGATTTGGGGGGATTTTGGGGGTTTTACCTCCTCGCCGCCCCCCTGCAGGGGTTTGTACTCGGGGTCCTCGGGGTCTCTGTCGAAATCGGCCCTGGGGGGACCCCAAAACCTCCCGAATTCACCCCAAAACTGCCCAAATTCACCCAAAACCTCCCGAATTCACCCCAAAACTGCCCAAATTCACCCAAAA